GACATGCGTTACACGGCATTCCGCTCCATCGTGCCTGGACCTACCACTAGCGACTTGCCTGGAACGTGTACATGCAATCCAGGTTCTGGAGCCACTGGCAGCTAGTGACCACTCGATGGTGTTAGCCAGCCTAGAGGTACTGCTGCCCTACTCGCGTCTGCCACAGCCGTCCTACAATTATTGGAAGACCGACTTCAATTGTCTAAAGCAAACCGCCAATGAAGTAGACTGGTCGCTGTCGCAGGATTCATCTGTTGAAGCCTATTGATCTGTTATAAAAGTGAGTGTGTAATCGTTGTGCGCTCGTTTCGTGCCCCTCAAGTATCATAAAGCTGGTCCAGTGAAGCCACATTGGTTCGACAGAGAGTATAGTCAATTGGCTCGATGGCGACGCGTATTGTGGAATAAATTCCTTGTGTCTGGATTTGCCAACGATGATGAGGCGTATAAAAGGCAGCGGAATCTAGGCAACAGAGCAAAAGCGCGAAAGCGTCGGCAATTCATAGAGGATCTTGCAACCTCGGCGAAGACGACTCCCAAGAAGATTTTTGCTTTGATGAAGCGGCACCTGAGGTCAGCAAGTGACGTGGCTATGTTATAGGGCACTGACGGATAACCTGTGACCTCCGGCACAAAAAGTGCGTCCGCATTGGCGGAGCACTTCGCTTCCGTATTCACAAATGGGCATGCGCTTATGACGAGTTCGACGTGTGCAGCGCCTACTGAACGCGAGGACCTTGACTGCGGTGTAGAAGTTGTCCGCAGTCTATTGGCCAGTTTTGATGGCACAAAACCTTCTGGACCCGATGAACTTCACTCGTTAATTTTAAAGTCCTTATCGGCGATCATCTCACCTGCTGTGACGGATCCGTTTAACAGATCGCTGTCCGAGTGTGCATTTCCGAGCGACTGGAAATGCTTAGTAGTGAAGCCGATTCCAAAAGCTGGTGACCCACGCAATGTGGACAGTTACCGGCCGATAGATCTCCCTTCTATTTTGGCGAAGGTGCCCGGGAAGATTGGGACAAAGAGTCTTCTCCATCTGCTGTAGTCGAAAGATCTCCTAACGCCGAACCAGCACGGTTTCATGAAGGGCCGCTCGCGTATCACCAACCTGCTGTTGACGCGGCAGGAATGGTTGCAACCGTTGAACCGGGGGAAGTCAGTGGATGTTAGCTACATTGCTTTCAAGAAAGCTTTCGATAAAGTGAACCATGAAGCCCTGCTCCACAAGCTGAGGATGCGTGGTGTTGGTGACACAATGCACTAGTGGAGCAGTGACTTCCTTATTGAGAGATGACGGGTTCAGGTGGATGACCACTTAACGTAATGGTATCCGTCCACTAGCGGCGTACTCCGAGGCACAGTACTGGACCCATTTTATGCCTGATCCACATTAACGAAGTATAGTTTCTTCGGTCACCCTGCGGATTATTTGCGGAGGACCTGTGGATTTGGAGGCATATTGATTATCCCGGCGAAGGTGACGTCCTTCAGCGGACCGCGACCACCTATCCTGGTGGTCTGCAGAAGTTGACTTACTGTCAACACGGTGAAGTCCTCGTTTGTGAGCCTGCGGAGGGGTACTAATGGGCCTGCGCACACCCTGGACAGCCACTCGCTACAACAAACCAGTTCCGTAAAGGATCCAGGCGTACTCTCCCGCTGTGATCTGAAGTCGGTCGACAACACGAGCAGAATGTACGCAAACGGACTACACCTGTTTTCGGCACTTCGAAGCAGCTTCTGTACTTGGTCTGAAGAGACTGCCACCCGTCTGTTTTCTTCCAAGATAAGACCAGTGCTTGAGTACGGCTCACCTGCCTATTGTCCGGTCACAATAAGTGAGGTGCAGATACTGGAACTGGCCAAGTATGTAGCTACCTGACTCATCCCCAGGTTAGGAGGTATGTTCTACGAGACCGATGTAGGAGACTAGGGCTTTATACCGTGTCATATCGTCGGCTTCGAGTTGATCTCATTATGACGCACCGGATACCGCACCTGGGCCACTTCCTTATGTTGAAGCCGCTGCCGCACCTTTGCGCAGCAAGCTGCCCACAGGGACACCGGTACAAACTAATGGCACCGGATTTAAAGCGCATCCCCTACCCTCTATGTTTCCAGCATCGTGATGAAGTATTGGAACAAGTTGCCGTAGACGCTAGTCGAGGCGAAATCGATTTCGGAATTTAAGAGTCCTTGTTGCCCACTTTGCGGACTACAGGTATAGGGAGCGTATCGCACCCGGATAAGATGTAGTGCAGCTGCAATATGCTGCCACCTCGCAGGAATCAGCGACCTGATTTTGCCCATTGGCCCGGCTTACCTACGATGGAACACCACGGAATTTGCTCTCCTTGTTCTCTATTCTCAGTAAGCATAATTATGCCTTTTCACCCAGCTTGCCGACACTGGCTACGACACAAAGATATCTGAGTCCTTCAAATTGAGCTGACAAAGTGCGTGCGTAAGCGTTTATCTGAATCCACGGCAGCCCTCGCGATTCGGCCGTATCAGCCGGAGTTGGATGTTCAGAGACGTTTCTCTCGAAGGCTAAGACGGCTCTGGTACACAAGAACTGTGAGGTCTGGCCTACGGAGTCGTACGCAAGCTGCAGTGCTTGTGTTTGATCAGTGATTATGTACTGAATATATGTTAATAACGTGTAATAGTGATTCGCCAAGGTTAGAGCTGGTTCATCATGGTCCACTCTCAGTTAGCAGGCTTTGGCAAGTCTAGAAAATCAAGTCACCGGCTTTTCAACCTTCCGGATCGCCTCAGTGGTACGCCTTCCAGCGGAACCCTGCTGGGTTCCGCCCCTATGAGTTCAGGATACCAGCAACTAGTGCCACTTCTCCATGGGTGACGGCCGCGGACCTGCATGATTGACAGTTGACTGTGATATAGCCCGGTACATCTTCGACTGCCATACCGGTTGCGAACTGTGCAAAGAACAGCAGTTAGCTCCACGAGCTAGGACTTTCCGCATTGGGCCTTGGTACAACGCAGGGACTTATAGGCTATACGGGCAGGTTTTATATTACTAATGAGTAGTGAGACTGCGAGGATTAGAAATAGTTCATCACGATCACTAATATATTTTACCAACCCTCACGTTGCGTCTATCCGGTTGTGTTCCCCCACTTCTATTTGTACAAGCTTGAAGAATATTTATTGAAAACTTGTTCACGTCTCCATTTTATAGTTCAGATACTCTGCGACGGAGGCAGCATGCCTGAAGGATCCGTCACTCTCCTGGCACCCCCATCCCAACTGCGTATTCCGTTCAGGATTTAGGAATTCGATATTCTGTCAGCCTTAAATCCTCCGCATACATCCTACATCAAGTAGCGACAGCGAAAACAGCTAACAGATTTCCACACTAGGTCATTTTTACTATCCGAACACGGCTTGAATAATTTAAACTCATAGTGAGACCCACACTAGAATACTGCACCATCATACATAGCCACCTACACAAGACAAAATTGTTTTGACAAAGTTCGTCGCTCATCTAGCAAAATGTTAATGGGACGCTCATCAAAGCTTACCTATGAGGGACGATGTTCTTACCTCCAGTTCGACTTACTCTGGCCTCAACGACTGAAAACAATCACGTTTTTTCTACACTACATTATATTTACGAGTGTTCTAAACCAGAACGGCTGTCGCTTTACAACATGACGCAACCTGTCAAACTCCTAATGATAAAGGTCTGTTATACTTACAAAAGACCAAGCGAAATATTCGCTTAAATTCCTTCTAGATGTGACACCCACATCTGAGGAATAAACTGCCGTTACAATTGGGCACTGGCAAGAGGTTGTTTATAGTTCAACCTTAATTAAAAGCTTTCCTTTCCATACAAAGTGTGGTCAAACGTTTCGACATTCAAAAAGCTACTAGTGTACTCATGGAATCCGGCCCGAAAAACGTATGACCAAACAAGCTTCCCAATAATGTTACGGATTACATACTCCATACAACTTTGCATCATTGATCTATATTGAATGCAAGTTCATGAACGAGAAGGTGGTGAAACTCGCGATGCAAATGATGGTTCTACAGAAGGGAACGTATCCCTACCAGCGGGAAATATACACAGTGATTTATTTATCTTCAGTGACGAATGACAGAATTGACTCTTCTCTTCTGTAATAAGCCGTTGTTTTAGTTCAAGGCTTCAGGCAGTTCTTTTCTTTGAGCCTAGATGCTAACAGTTTCATTGCTTGTTTTCACAAGCTGAAGTCTCGTTTGAGGTCGTTTAACCCTTCCTGTGCAAATTGCTGAGGTGCTGAGGCATCACTTTCATATTCACTGCACTGCTATCACCTGTAAATCAACAAGGATTCTTTTCACACAATTCTTGAATATCGGAAAATGAAGCAAACACTGACACAGGATCTTCTGCTCTGCGGCGCAGGGGTCGCTAACATGGTTCCGAAGCAAGACACCACCAGTTAGGTTTCCTTTATCGATCGACTTTGACAGCGCAGAAATAGTACACATTGTGATGGCTTGTCGGTTCCCTCCACATTACCGACCCACTAAAATTTCATTGCATTAGTTGTTCAATTTCGGAGACACACCACGCAGGTTGCGTTAAACTTATGGGGAGCCCAGCATTTTTCCAGGATGTACTCCAAATCAAGCGCAGTAGACCTGACACACAATGGGTAGAATATTTTCTCATTGTTTCACCACAAATGCAGCAGATTACCTAGGGATTGCTCAAGCAGCTATGTCGATAGAAATGTGAACAGCTGAGGAAAACTACAGGAGAAGCCCTAACTAAGTTCCTGTTATTATTATTATTTATTTATTAATTCTCAGCTGACTGTTATATTCCGGAAACTGCAGCCAGTTTGAGAAAACTGCTTTCACCTTTGAAATCGGAATCACAGAAATAAATAAGGTAGTTGGGATAACATCGGCAGCAGAAAAAAGCTCTTTTGTCTGCCAGTGAAATAGTTTACCGTATCGTAAAAAGTGCTTACCTTCACTATTTGATCTTGAACTTGAAGTTGAGCGGACTTGTCAGCGACGCTACCCGGAGTGATTGCCCGGATGAAAATACCGTATTGATAGTGTGTATCTGAAAAAAATGACTGGAGCACTAGTTGCGCTACTACATAGAAGTATCCATCGCATCCGTGCTGGTTTTCTGCAAGATACTATGCTACTAGCAAACTACAAGTAGAATAGAGAAATAATTGTTTCCTCGTCGCCGATGCCGTGGGCGTACGCAGACCATGAGACAAACTCCACCTGTCTGGTTGACCGACTGTTACTAAAGACAAGTGATTAAGTTCAGGAAAATGCCCGGTGAGGTGGTTTGAATGAGCTCATGATCGAATTGCATTCAGCCGGTTGATCGGCTCCACCATTGTACTGTTACTCATTAAACCACTATTAACTTTTCAGCACAGCTGATTGCTTGCAGTTCACCTTTGTACTCACCATAAATTTCAATTTTCTATCCGTTACAAACCGTCTAAGTAGAGATACAACTCTGTGAAATCTTGTACGACTGAATCTGAAAAGACCAAGCTTCCTATGGCTTAATTCCTAAAGCCATCAGGCAGGAAAGATGCCATTAACCTTGCCTTATCTGTCGGTACACATCAATGCAGGTGCGTTTAGGCATAGTCATACCGGTACGGAGCAGACTGAAATTCAGTGAGGGCAGACGCGATCAGCAGCTTAGCTTTTATTAGAGGGGCCAGTCTTAAGCCCATCTTGTTTGAATGGATTACAAAATGCAATCTGGAGGTTGGCCGCGTTTTGCATCAAACTGTACCATTGTCAGTTAGATCATTAGTACCGTAACTGATGAAGCAGATGGATATCGAGTGTTGCCCACCCAAACCACTGCACTCCATCACCGGTTTCTAACTTGGATGATCTCTTAGGCTGGAGACAGCAGACTTAGGAGTAGACATCTAGACTACCATCCAGAAGGGTCGAGTCCCTGCTATGGTTACCTGAGGAGATCAAATTTGTTCAAACCGGTCGTGGATTACAGTTTTCGCGGCTGGTAACACCCAGCATACGGTAGACCAATCATTTCGTTTTTGACTTTCCGAGCGTCAGTAATGTGTCGGATTTGCGAAATGCAGCCTAAAAAGCCCGACACACTATCCACATTAGCAGCTTATGCAAAAACCTACCTCCACGAACCTACCGAAAGACTACATAATGAACAATAAAACTTGAGGGAGCAATTCAGATAGGAACCGACATGCTTGATCCTCTGAGATCGCAGTTTTTTGGTTGCCAGCTTACGAAATGTAATGCGGACAAAGACTGCCCGGTCGCAGTTTCTGCTGAGTGGACAGCATGCAACTTCCTTCACAATGAAAATGGCATTGATAGGTTAGTCTCTTTAACTGATCAACTAGTCCAGCACCGCTGATAACGGAGTGATCAGCATCGCGCATTATGCAGTGCTAGTTCCTGTGACGTATTCTACGCCCCGTTTCCTCCCTGTTTAGCCCTCTATTCAAAGACATCCAGGTTGCAATAAAAGCTTAAAAGGTTGGAAATACTGGAAGACCGAACCTACTACTTTCATGCCATCCTTTTATATTATAGCTGCCAAGCGGGCCACGAACGCATGCAGGGCGTGCTTGCAGGTACCAAGGAGCTCAAAACTCACCCAGAACACGTGTACCGTTTTATAAGAGAGAGCGAAGTCCCAGAGTTGTGTGCCGATAACCCGTAGTGTTAGGAGGCTGTGCAATGAACATATACCTTTCGCCACAATTCTTAGTGGCCTGCTTTCGTTTTGCTACCGATTGTTTCTTGACACTTGTTTGTATGCATCATTGAGTTGTTTTGATTGGCCGGCCTAAGTCCTTCGTAATGGATGTCATCTCAGGGTCCTAGTTCCGCTAGTACCGTTTCCTCGAACTCGACTGACTGATCCTTTCAGTTACCAATTCTCATGCCCGTAGTACCCACTGCTCCCTACGACCCTAGTTGGCTCTGAGCTGCTTTAGTGGCTTTGCTTCACCCACTGTTGTACCCTGCACATGAAAGCAGTGTTGTCATGCATACAACTCGGTCCTAGCTTGTCTTCCGTGTTTTCTTTGCGGTCGTGGGGTGCGAACAGTCGGTGGCGACACAACACCCAGAGCATTCGTTGATCAATCTTACCTCTTGTCAAGTCGAGCGTCAGATGCTTTGTGCGACTTTTGGACCGCAGAAGTCATCCACTTGCGACGCAAATGGCAGAGTATTGCAATAACAGATCAGTTGAGCTCCTCAAGAATGTTGTTGATGCACTGCAAATTAACCAAGCTTCTTCCTTTTGTGTTAACCAAAAGAAAGCACCAGAACGGTGTGGAAACACTTCGGCATAAGTTGGAGCAGTTGCTTCACTTAGTAGACTTATCAAAACTATTGCATGTGACGGTTTACATTTCATTGTCTCTCTCGTCCTTTATGGGCTCTCCGAGCAGATATATTTGAAGGTTAAGCTCTTACTTGGAGCGAGTGTTTACAGGCTATTAAAGTAAAGCCAAACCTGATCAACACATGGCTAGTAGCTACCAGGGAAAGCAATTCGTCAGGGTGAAATTTGTGAAATGTACAGCTGTTCGTGGTAACTAACTTTTCCATCAGACGGTCGTTATATCGAACTGCGGCTTAATATCAACTAAATTATGTCAGTAAATAAACAAAATTTCCCGTTTTAACCAACTGCACTTTACTGAGTAGCAATTGTCTAGTCAGGAAGCTTGTCTGCCACATGCAAAATTTCTAGCAATGATATTTGGGGCAAATAAACCGGAGCGGTATTTTGGGATTTTCAGCCCCTTAACCTCGCACCTCTTTCGAAGTAGGATCTAACAAAAGCGACTTGGTGCCTCTGTTATTCCACGGTGTCTGGCACTGGTAGCGTACCTTAGGTTGCGAAGCCTCACTAATTATATCGATGCAATTTACTGGCCTACTTCAAACGCCTGCGTCTTAGCTGTCTTCAAGTCAACTTTCAGTAGCTTAATCCATTGTCTGATTCTATCATAATTGTAATGGTCTGATGAGAATTACTGCAAAGAGATCCATTCGCTAGGTAGACATTTTATTTAAGCATGAACAAGATTCTTGGGTACTGTATCTTTTCCCTCCAAGTTTGGATATTACATTTAGCCTTCCCCTGGCGATGTAGGCAAAGAGTCTCTGAAAGATGATGGGGATGACTTCTGGGCGGGAAACTGCAGTTGCAGTAAGTTTGTGCATTTTTCATGAGATCGTAAAACCAGTGAAAGTTAAACCACCTGCTCTTGATGCTCAGCGCAGTTAGTCGATCCCAATGAATGTGGGTATGGTTGGGGAGGCAAAACCGCCTTATGCTGGGGTACACTTGCTCGCCGCAGAGCAAGTGCTCGTTAGGATTGCAAACAAGTCAGCTAACTTAGTGAACTCTCTCCTGTGTTAGTGGCCGAACCGAGTACCCAGTCATACGCGTGGGCGTCGTGTGAGTCGTGCCAAGATAGCTGAGCCGCGATATGGAAAAAAGGTTTCCGGCGGCAAACCACTTAGCAGGCGCAGAACTCAAGCTTGAGTACTGTGAGTGGTCCCACGGGCGTAGCTGAGTATTTGGCATACACGGGCGGAATTTTACAGCTCAAATGTCAGCGGGATGGTGTAAGTTTGACCTAGAAATATAGCCATGAATGATTCTAGTAAATCCTTTCCGGTCCGCCAGGTTGTCACTTCTGATTTTCCCCGGCTGGATTGGAAGCGGCACTAGGCAGTGATCCGAGACGGGCAGTGTGTTTACGAGAGGTACACTCAAAACTAATTACATTATGCACTTTGCGGACTGAGACAATTATGCTTCTGTGTAAATCTAATATCGTACTTACCTTGTGAATGCCGTTTGTACACATAACCGACCACCGTCAATCCCAGTCCTTTCTCACGTGGTCTGTTTAACTGAACTTCCAGTGTTTCGGTTGCGTCATACTGGAGGTGATCTGGGCCCGCCGGACCACAAGCGTGGTTTGTGGCCGCCTTCCCTGCCCCATCGCTACCGTCAACCGTTTCACCTCCAGTTACTGCAAGGGAGAAGTGAAGTCGTATGAATCGGTAGTTTACCAGTTCAATTATTAGGACCAATCTACCAGCATTTTAATCGCCCAATACCTTCAAAGAAACCATGATAATGTCAATTTCACTAAGCTGGGGTGGATCTTGCAGCATCCAGCAAAGAATTCTGTTCCCATTTGTTTTTTTCACGCGACATCTGTTTTGTGGAAATCAGTATAAGTACGGATGATACAAGAATGCCCGGAATACGAAACACTCCAGCCTATGCTTCGTGCACAGAACTGACAATACTATCGTGTGGTTCTAATTGACAGCCTCACGTGCTCTCCCTGAATTCATCCATGTGTGTCCCTTTTATAAGTACAAGGCATTAACCGTTCTGTCATTTGTGCATTTCGATTGGCCTCCCTTTGTATCCTTGCCGTGCCGAATAAGCGTGTTACAACCGGTACCTGATAGCGAAGGAGGATTTTGTGAGAGTCAAACATGCGGGTAACTCACACCTATGACGTCCGGACGTTTAGGCATTAACTACCGCTCAACCTCCAAATAAAACGCTACGTACTGAAATGTCGTTCGTTGTACACTTACCCTCTGGAAGAGGACTTTATGGACTATTTGATTCAAATTGCTGGTTGTTGTCACTGGGTGATACCTGAAGCACACATTGTTGTGGTGTCCTAGTGATGTTTATAATTTGCCCTTAACTAGTACAGTACCTCAGCACTTGTTTTGTTGTTTGATTTGAATTAGGCGGAAATACGTAACTAATGCTCTCCGAGTGAATTTTGTCTCTTTTACTGATAACCGTGTTAAAATTCACCACATAATAGAATAGTCCACACGAAGCAATAAAGAAGGCAAGCAAATCAGGACTATGGTCAGCATAGGGGACTTATGATCCTACGTAACTCTGTCCTCTAAAACTGCGAGAAGCTATTCAGCATGAATATTTGATGTTGATCAACTCAATTATGGGTTTAGTTCCTCTCTGTAGAAGGTTTTTCCACTACCCTCCTTAACTAGCTCAGGCCCAGCCGCCCTAGTTGATCAAGGTGGCGTCAAGAACGAACTCAGAAAACTAAAGTCAAATAACGCTAGTGGCCCTGACGGTTTAATCACCTGTGGTTCTGAAGCATTGAGCAGATTCTCTAACGTTTCTCTTAAATGCTATTTTTATCAACTGTCTCACAACCGGTGTCATCCCCAAATCTAGAGAGAAGCCAGAATAACGCTAGTTTCTAAAAAAGGATATCAAAAGTATCGACCAGTTGCTGGTACTTATGTACTCTTTAAAGTCTTCGAAAAGCCACTGTTCCCGAGGATTTCCACGGCTACTCGTGTTGATGATATCTACTATTTTACGTTTAGACTCCAGCGCTTTATTCTAGATGCTGTCTCGCAACTTGCATATTCAATAACCTCTGCATTGGATAAAACGTGCAGATCCAAGCGGCTTCTTTTGCTTGAGTATTCAAATGCCTTCGGGAGTCTTGACCAGTTTGGGCTGCTCTAGCTATTTTAGTTGAACAGAGTCCACCCTGATGTTTGCAGCTTGTTACTTGGCTATTTCGCTGATCGCACACACGTTACTCAGTTAAACGGCAAAAGAACCTCTATGCTCCATGGTGACCGTTGCGTTTTGCAGGGCACGATCCGCTCACTCTTTTTATTCCCATTATATGTTGAAAGCCTTCCCATACCGTCTAAATTCATTGAATGCAAATATGCTGATGAGGTTGTCTTGGGGTGCAGGGCTCCCTCCATTACGATATCTTCTGCGCTTCCAAATGATTTAGACGAAATTTTGAGTAGGTCATCATCCAGGTCTCTTAATAGGAATGCTTCGAAATGCACGGAGGTAACATTTTCACTTCTCCGCTAAGATAAGTTGTAAGTAATTGTGGATGTCTCTCCTCCATTAAATTTGAATGATAAAAGCGTGTCTACTTTATCCACTGTCAAGTACATAGGTGTACATTTGTTCCAAAGCCTTTTGTTCCACGCACGTTTGGAAATATTTCACTAGGCCGGAAGATTAGCTCTTTATTCTGTCCGCATTAAGAGGCTTTGTGTGCATCGAAATTAAGCTGTACGATTTTTAACTACATGCATACTACCTCACTGGTTGTATCACTCCCCTGTAATTCTCCCTGGACTAAAAGAAAATAACATCGTTTTGAATGTGCGATCGATTACACATATTTCCAGATGTGGCGGCTTGCCTAGAGATTCCCTAGTTAATTTTATTCTTCGTTAAAATTTTGCTGGTTGCATGAATTTGTCCTTGTCGTGTCTGCTCACTTTGATTTGTTCTTGGTATCGATCCGTTTACAACACCCACGCCGTGTACTTGGCATGGTTTGGGCAAGCCATGTGCCCTTACATCTGATTGATTCCATCATTATACGTCTACCGATTTTATTGCAACAAGTGCATGTGCAGACAAGCTCATACATACATTCCGTTGCTAGTCTGGTCTTCCGACTTTTAGGGACACTACATAAGGGTGTCGTGTGGTATCGATGTCGTTGCGCGCTGTTGCTCCTGCTCCGTTCTGGACTGATCCTGAGGTTACCCCAAATGCAGAATGCTGGCAAGCATAGAAGATCAGTTTTTGGATTATAATACTGTGCTGCAAGTTCTCAAACCATCCGTGACGCTGAAAAAGGAGGATACTTTGAAACATTTGCTCTTACACCTCGGCTCAGCGAATTGGCGTATATTTGATGCGCTTAGCCTATATCAACGAACACTTCAAGATGGAAGTACAGGAGATAATCAGTGGGCTACCACTCTACAATCACATCACATCTCCCACAAAATTCAGGACGGGAAACAAACCTGGCGTCCTGGATCTTGTATTCACCAATGAAGAGCTTATGATCGAAGCGGTATCGATAGAGAGTCCTTTAGGCCGTAACAACCATGTAATGCTCATGTTCAATTACATCTGTTATGCAGAGTACTCCTTAGAAAACACCGAGGGATGTCAGCTCATTACGGATTACGGCGCGCTACTCAAACTTATAAATGCTACAAACGGCATTTCTAGCAGAACGATCCCCCGATGTCGCCTGGTCTGAATTTGCTCACCAGTTCAACACGTTAGTAACTAGTGCTTCTAGGAAAAGACCTTCGCGAGCGAAGACAGTACAATCAGTCATACGCAGCAGGACACGCATGGGCATCGTTACCAGGAACTTACTCTGGCAAAGATACAAGGAGTCATCGAGTGCCGAAACACGGGAAGCCTACACTATCCAAAGAAATCACTGCGTAAACCTGGTACGCGAAGATAAAATACAGCACCAACAGAATCTAGCCGAGAAATTCCTTGCAAACCCCAAGCTCCTGTACAGACACGTTAACAAGCTCTGCAAAGTGCAGCGAGGAATTCCTGCCTTACACGCGTTATGTGGACTCGCGAAGACTGCATCCGAGGCGGTCAACGCCCCAGGTCAACAATTCGCCCCGAACTTCCAGAGCACGACATCGCCGCATACACTGTTCCCAATCATTGTACCACCACCAGGACTTAGCCACATCACGTTTACGACTGCAGATGTTATGAAAAGGCTAACTGCCCTGCGCGAGCCTACCTCTCCCGGTGTTGATAATATTCGTCCAAAAGCGTTGAAATTTGCTGCAGTAAACCTGGCGGACCCCCTCTGCAAGTTCATCCAACGATGCCTCGATGAGATGCGCGTGCCAACAATGTGGAAGCAAGGCATCGTCACTCCCATCCATAAGCGGGAAGCCGTACAGATCCGGCCAATTATCGCCCGATAACACTACTTCCGGTGCTCTCCAAAAGCATGGAAGCGATTGTTGCCGAAGCGCTGATGAACTTCTTGGAAGAACGCAATATCATAGCACAAGAAGAACATGGGTTTCGCAAGCACCGATCTTGCACTTCAAACTTGCTGCTTGCCAGATCCAGCTGAACCGAGACCGTTGACAGCGGCGTAGGTGTTGACGCAGTATATCTGGACTTCTCAAAGGCTTTCAACCGTCTGAACCACCGTATCCTTCTTCACAAGCTGCAATGTTGTGGAATTGGTGACCCAATCCTCGGTTGGATAGCTAACTTCTGGCTTCAACGACATCTGAATGTAAGAGTTCGCGGCGTCATCTCTGGCCCAATCAAGGTTAAGTGCGGAGTGCCCCAGGGCTCAGTACTTGGTCCACGCCTATACCTGATTTACATAAACGATCTCGCGACAGTAATCAACTCCAACTCCTTACTCTTCGCTGATGATCTCAAGATATGGCGAGCCATTGGAACAACCAGCGACAATGCAGCACTTCAGGAAGATCTTGACATGGTCTACGAATGGTCGACTCAGAACCTGCTCCAGTTCAACGCTATAAAGTGCAAGGTGGTGGGCATACGCCATAAAGCCACTTGCGAATACAGACTAGGGGATCAAATATTGCAGCGCACTACAACGGAATGCGATCTAGGAGTGGTAGTGCAGGAAGACCTGGGCTGTTCCCGTCAGGCAGAGAAAGCCTCCAACAAAGCTAACCAACACCTTGGCCTTTTGCGGAGGGCATTCGGGCGCTTCCATCCTTCCATGTTTTCTCAGATGCTCAAAGCCTACATTCGGCTTCATTCTCAGTACGCCATCCACGCCTGGCAGCCATGGCAAAAGCAAGACCTTACCGCTCTTGAATTACCACAACGAAGGGCGACCAAGAACGTAAAGGGTCTGTTTCACCTCCCTTACCGATTGAGGCTAAAAACCCTCGGGATCTACAGTGGACAATATCGACGCCTGCGTGGCGACTTGCTAATGACTTATAGGATCCTAAGGAATCCAAACCATTGTGTCGTCACCTACTAAAGCTGAATAACAATACCACACTCAGAGGACACCAGCTAAAGCTGGACACACAATACAGGCGGTTGGAATGCTGCCGGAATTTCTTTTCCCTTCGTGTAAGCGAACACTGAAACGCTCTTCCCACATACGTTGTTTCTTCCCCCACGCTAACGGTATTC